TTCTGTGTCTGTGATACTTATAAATGCTGTGCTTTGTCAAAACAAACCATGGTCTGGGTGGTCAAAATCTGAGTTTGAAAGTTTTCTGTGAAAACGTTTTTATTGTTTAAGTTTATTTATGAAAACTAACTTTTTTCTGATATTTATATTTTAGTTTTATTTTTCTACTTTAGAAGTTATACAATGTTCGTCAAACTAAATGAACAATCCAAGCTTGTTTGGTTCTTGTAACAGACAATAAAGATTATAACGGTGTTTTATTTTGGTCTTCGCTGGGTTTTTAATGTCTGGTCATAGTGTAACACTTGCACGTTATGAAACGGTTTGGATTCTAAAATGAGAGAGGGATAATGACTATAGCTTTTATATTTTTCCTGGTTATTTTACGATGGCGGTCTCGTTTTTTTTTGTTTCTCTCCAAAACGAAGCTTAAAAATCGAGTAGACAAAAAAAAACGCGTTTGTTTGTAGAAGGTGCATCACACGTGAGTCGATGCTTTTTTTGAAAAGTTGCAAAATCCAAATGCGTCCCATCCTTACACGACAATCTCTTCACGCTAAACAAACGTTTTGGGGATAAAAGAAGTTTGTTGTGCCTCTCTGGCGTAATAAGGCGTAATAACTCAAATGCCATACTTTGCTCTAGGAGTCGTACCATCGATATCCTTTTCAAACACAAAAAAATCTCAAGACCGCAATTGAATAACTATTATAGATTTACAAATAAAGGTCATTTCTCTAATCTTCACCTTATCAACACCCTTATAGACAAGAAAGCCTAATCATTCATCCATTACATTCTCCAGAATACCCTACAGCTACTGCTGTTTACTGTTCCGTTTCTATGGCTGTCCTAAAACGTCAGAGCACAAACGTCAATGCGTGTTACCATTTTTTCTCAACCCCTGATATGCGAACGCCATGACGTCTCACTTCCGTGCCCAAATATAGAGAAAACCAGTTAACTTCTACCGTGTTGGAAAATTCTGGAAACTCGAGACGCAAGAGTACGGAAGGACGGCTCTCAGTTGCGTCTGGCCAACCAGTTGCGCCGTTTCCATGGTGACTAGAAAAGTGTTTTCATCAGTTGCTACAGGATATAACTGTGAGAAGATGGTCAACGTCTCGCGCGAAACACGCGGGCGCGATAGCAAGGGTGGAGAAACGGAGATGTTATCACCTATCTTTTATAGCAAGCGAGAATTGTTATTCTTCTTACTACATTATTTTAAAATGAACCTTTCAGTAAGTTGCATGAATTATTTCCATGTGTAAGTCTCCGTATTTGTTGGTATGACCAAAGAACTATTAAACATTTCGTGAAGTCCTGACAAAATATCCCCAGCAAATCTGTCATCGTCATGAAAAGTGAGTGCATTATCATTGACAGTGCAGTAGGTTTTAAATGTTTCCCAACACAAGAAATAAACCGATTTAAAAAAACAAAAGGTTTTGCTGATACTGCTCAAGTTATGATGAGGGGTTCCTCTGTCCTTAAATGCCCCCCAGCTAGCACATATCAAAGAAGTTCAAACAGATTGTATATTCTATGATTTTACAGAATTGGGATAGGATGAATACTATTTTCAGCAACGGGGCGCAGCTTCTTGGTGGATGTTTAGTAGCAAGAAGAAAATAAAAGGGATGGCAAACAAGCTATACATTTTAAAATACATATATGTGCAATTTCAATAGCACGTTTATACAAGGAAAGAAATATGTTATTTCAAAAGAGCATTCCATCGGCACGCCATCATTATGGAAACCGAAAATATATGTACAGTACGAGCCGAATGATCTGTAACAGCTCTTCTGAATGCGACTCAATGCAATGGAACAAGCGGGCCTTGTGCAAATATTTGCATACAGAACGCTGGGTATGACATCTCATCCTCACTATTGACGACTCGTGGATCTTTCCATGCTGTTGTGTCAACCGTCTTTAAAAGTTTATAGAACTAGTCTTTCCTACCGAAAGAAACGCGCTTTTTACCGGCAGCTCTTTGAAGGAAGGCTATACTTCATGCAGTGTTTCTAAGTATTGTAATATACCTCTGCTCCTTCCATTTCTTTTTCTTCGGTAGAACACGGAAAATTTAATTCCATGTATTATTTGGTTGGAAAGTTGTTGTGGGTTTTTTTTGTCGTATATATATTTAATTTTCTCAACATTTTAAACAATTTTCTCAACAATTTTAAAGCCTAAATCTCGGATTCTGGCGTTTCTGCCATTAAAATCTCATGTTCATTTGGGTTTTGGTTTCGAACCATGTCCATGTTTGTTGGTGTCTGATGTTAAGGAGCTTGAATATTCTTTCTCTAGAATCGATTATTGTAAAAGCTTTGCTGGTCAGCATTTAAAACATAACGGACATAACGGAGGATCACTTGTGACTTTTGCCATCACTCCAGTGGTTATCTGTAAAATTTACAGTGGATTTAAAATTATTATATTTTTAACTTAAAAAGGTTTATATAGCCTTACTCCACTGGATCTAAATTTCTACCATACGACAGGTTGAAAACAACAGGTAACTTTTTTTCTAGGTACCACCTCTTGTATCTTTTTGTTTTATTTTAACAGATATTTATTTTTTATTATACATGTTTTTGTATAGCACTTCAAGACTCAATAAGGCATAAAAACAGCCCTTAGAAATGAGACTTTATTTGACTTACGTGTCAGTCATGTGTGAACATTATGTTTGAATTATGTTGGACCCACACCGAGCGCCTCTGAATCCTGAACATTGAATCGCAGATTACAGTTTTGAAGGTTCAAGAAACCCAAAGATTACTTGAAGGGCAGTTCCTCACCCTTGGTTCTGACATGTTGCCCACTGGGAACCAGCTGACTGTATCCATGCGCTCTCTTAGCTGTGCGGTGTAGCCCAGCTCTTCCTCAGTGGGGCCTTGTTCCAGGGGCTAACGACGTCCCCCTCTGCTGGAGCTCCTAACCGAGCTTAAGGGAGGTGGGTTTAGACTACTGGACCACTGAGCTGCAGGTGTGGAGCTGAAGGGGCAGCTGCAGTTCCCAGTCTTCTGGGTGCTGTGCAGAGACCAAGGATCAAGGACCAAGCTGTGCTGTGTGCCCAGCTGTCCCTGGAGTCTGTTGCAGTGGGGGTGCAGGGGCATGGGCCGAATCTCTGGCATGCCCAGACACTCAGCCTCTCCAAGGGGGCTGGGGCATTACCTTAAACTGCCACAGCCCATTCCCTGTGGAGAAGGCTGCCTAGGAGTGGGAGCCTGGTGCCAGCTGCATGTGCCAATACCAGCTCTTCGGGTCGAGGGACGACCTCTGGTGTACGAGGTAGGAGTCTTTCTACATTACAGCATTCAGGTGCTGGTAGTCAACACAGAACCTCCAGGTTCTGTCCTTCTTGGGCAGCATGACAATTCATTATTCATTATCATACTCCAGGGTTCATTATCCCTGTGTGCAGTATATCCTCTAGGGCCCTCTGGGCAGCCTGTCTTCACTGTGCCCACAGGCAGTGGGGCTGGTGCCCGATGGGGTGGGCATCACCGGTGTCAATGGGGCGCTTGCGGCACCCAGCAGAGGAACTACAGGAGAAGAGTCCCAGGATGCTCACCTTGGCTGGGTGACAGGTCCTTGGCTGGTTCTTTCCTACACAGCTCTGAGCACAGCCTTGAGCGCTCCACCATACCTGCTATTGAAGATCTGCCGTCTCCTCCAGGTGCTTCCTCACCACGGATGAATCCACCCTTTCTTCGGTGCCGGGTTCCACGCCAGGTGAAGGTTACCCCACTCTGACACCAGTGTGATGTTGGGTGTGCTTGGGCAGCGAGTGGAAGGAAGGAAGCTGGTGTTCGGCGTCGTGAGGAAGCTTTATTGCCCTTTCTGTTTCCAGCGAGAGTGCTACTCTCATGTGGGGGGGGTAGGAAAAGCAGAGATGCTGCTCCTGAAAGATTCCGGGCGGGAAGAGAGGGTCTCTCAGTCCTTCTATAGGCGGGAAAGGGGGAGCCAGAGGGTAAAGGGGTAGGGTTACAGAAAAACACCATGTCAGAGAGGAGCAGATCTCTACAATATGAAAGAGTTACATTTGGGTATTATGATATTTCCACAATTAAAATGCACGGCCTCACTTTCCCTGGTTTGTTGTAAGCATCAGCTGTCATTTTAATGTTAATGTGCTCTTTTCAGAAATGATACGCCTGCAAATGATATGAAATATATGCAAAACAATCATGATGCTGACTGTCCTAACTCAACGCTCAGAAACCACAGATCGGCACTGTGGATATTTATGGAACTTAAAGCAATATGCTTTGTGCTGTGAGCACAACTTAAAGAGTTGTTTCTATCATACCAAGGGAGAGCTAATGCACTAGATGCGGGTATTTTGAGAACCTTTCGATCATATTTTATTTATCGCATTGTGGATTCTAAGTGAATATTCGGGGTTTTGTTGCGCAGTCGGTGTAGTACGTTAATTGAACTTACTGGTGAATGACGTGTGCCCCCGCGCATTTATAATTATTTACTGAGCGAATTAGCGCTCAGTAAATTTAGAAAAAAAAGTACCGAAATTAAAGACTATGTCTAATAAGCAAAATACATATTTCTATAATAACTAATTGCATTTATAATAGCACTTGTTATCACCATGGATTATGCACTATCTTGCGTGTAGGAGGGAGCACTTTCCTCCCCCGATCTCAACTTGAGGTGCAGAAGTCAGGAAACACCACATGAATTCGGAGGGAAGGGAAGTCACACTCTACAAATTCGGACTGGAGTTTATCCAGGACACCAGGATAATTCACTGCCAAACACTCC